AATTTATGATTTCAATGCAAACAATCTTCATTAGCATACTCTGTGCAGAAAGCATTTACTGAAATGCCTTACTGAGGTCAAACAATAAGGCTGAAAGTGTAAAAACCTGACTATGAAAGTAGTACACAACTTTAACCACCAAAATTTTCTTGCTGGCTTTGAGCATCTTCAAGAGGAAACCCCAGCACCTCTCCAGGCAGTCTGATCCAGCGCTAGAGCTGATCCTCTCAGCTGACTGCTGACATTACAGAGCATTTCAATTTCCTGCTGCTGCTCCTCACCACACCCAAGCCTTATCAGCCATTCTTGTGATAATGCCACCAGAATGGGCTGAGGTATTGCTCTTAAAAACGGGGCTTTCACAGCTGTTTGCTCATTGTAGAAGGATGAGTACTTCAAAACATTAAGTTTAAAATCCCAGAATGTAAGTGGAATTAGCTACTCAAAGCTTTTTGTTTAAAGAGCTCCAGGGTACCTTTTAAAGAAGAAATGCCTTTAAAGATATAAAAGAAAAGAAAAAGAAAACCAATGTCAATGCGGGGTGTTGGGTTTTGTTTGTTTTTGACACCTCATCTCATGCCACTTTGGTCCTGTATCCTAACTCCGCTCCTCTATTTAGCTCACATTTCAACCACGATATTGAGGAGTTGATGTTCTGCTGCAATCTCTCAAAACTTTTTGTTCCTCTCTACATCCTTTCGGGCCCACCAACCACACAAAAGCTCTTTCTTCAGTTCTTTGTCCACAACCTGCCCTGAATGCCAAGAGGGGTGCACATCTCCTCCCTCTGCTAGGTGATAATATTCCAGCTCAGACTTTATAAGCCTCAGCCTGTACTTGAGGAAAAAAAAAAAAAGAAGTCAAACCACTCTCCCATTATACTTCTAGCCTCTAAACACAAATAGCCTTATAAGTAGCCTTAAGTAGCCTCTAAACATAAAATGTATTAGAAAATTTGGGAAATTATCATATATACGATTCGATTAAATGCATACAAACTATCAAATCATTCAAGTAAAAGACAATCTTAACAAATAAACCACACCAAGCTAAAAGAATATGCGACTTTCCATAAACACATGCAGAACACTTCCTCTAACCTCTCTCGGGTTCATCATTCTTATGGCACTTGCATAAAAATCCAAGTAAATGAAACATCAGCTGAAAACAAACCTCTATGATAAAAACTTCTGCTACAGAGAGCAGAACAACTTCCACTAAAAACAAACAAAAACCCCACGAAAACTTCTTGATAAGCTGATTATCTATACTAAACATTAAAGTAACATTAAAAAATGAAACTCCTTCACACCTAAAATAAATGTAACATTAAAACGCAGTAGCACAGTACACAGAACAGCCATTCCAGATGCAGATTTTCTTTCAGTTTCATTTGAACGTTAACTTACCCCTCCCAGTTCTTTAAGATCCTTCCCTATTTTTTCAGAGATCACATTTGATGGAATATCGAGGTAAAACACTTTTCCAGTGAGTGGTTTATATTTCAGTTTCTCTGGTTTTCCTACTTCCTTTTTCACGCTCTTCAGAGAAGATTTTATCTTTTCTGTTTTTGCTTGCATTTCATCTGCTGCCAAAAAAGAATTATACTGTATGAAATGTGGGTTCTCTTTTTAAAATGAAAGAAGGAAAACTTCCATGTAATATAAGACATTTAATAAAGTCCTACATGTTAAACATGTCAAAAACAAGACATAAATAACAAAGAGCCCTTAAAAGTTTGGTTTTTGTCGGGTTTTTTTTTGTTGTTGTTTTTTGTTTTTTTTTTTTAAATCATGTCCTAAGATGGATTTTTTTTATTTCATTTGCCATACAACACCACCAGTTTTCTCCTCCACTTTGTTAACCATTTTCCATCTCCACAGCACAGTACATACACTACTGGTACAGTCCCCAGTTATCACAAAAGCACTATTTTAAAGGAAAAAGACTGGATTCTCACTTTTTCATCTAAGAAAAAAGGGGATTCATATAGAAGCAACAGAACAAAAACAAGGCAAAAGCCCATGAAACAGAAAAAATAGGAGAGGAAGATCGTACTATTCATCTCATTTTTCAGCACCCACCTGAGACTCAGGAAGTCTGCTTAAAGTTCCAGAATCACTGTAGTTACAACCACTCTTTCTGTCCTAGTGAATTTTTATGTTAAACTAAGAGACAACATAGAGCAATTGAATCATAGAATGAATCACAGAATGGCTTGAGTTGGAAGGGACCTTTAAGATCATCCAGTTCCAACCCCCTGCTGTAGGCAGGAACACCTCCCTCTACACCAGGTTGCTCACAGCCCCATCCAGCCTGGCCTTGAATGCCTCCGGGGAAGTGGCATCCGCAGCCTTGCTGAGCAATCCATGCCAGTGTCTCACCACCCTCACAGTAAAGACTTTTTTCTTGATATCTAGTCCAAATCTACCCTCGTCATGTTTAAAGCCATTTTCCCTTGTCCTGTCGCTATCTGCCCTTACAAAGAATCACTGCAGCTTTCCAGTAGGCCCCCTTCAGGTACTGGAATTAAAAACCTGATGATCAACTCCGAACCATCCACTTAAGTCTGTCAGAACAGACATTTAAATAAGGAAATTTAAAGAATTAAAATAGATCAGTCTGGTTAAGAGTTAAGTCTCATTTCAGAAGAAAAACATCGTATGTACACTATCAACCAAAAAAAAAAAAAGTAAAAACAAAAAATCTACCAGAAAATGTAAAAAAAAAAAAAACACAGAAAATTAATTGGGCAATTTTATTATACCACTATATAAATTCATGAATCCCCACACTTAAATAACATGTGCAGCTTTAAGAGGAAAGAATGTGCATGAGGAGTAGAGTGTGTACTCTACAACCAAGAAAGAGAAAAAAGCGTTAAAAAAGATGATCAAAAGCATGTGGAATTATCTCACAGATAAGGTGGTCAGTGGGCAAAATAAGTGATTTAGGGGAAATACGATAAATAAAATTAAAAAAAGCAGAGATAATGGCTGAATAGTTTATTCCAGTACAAGAACTATGGAGCATAAACCCCAAACCAGCAGTTAGATAGAAAATAAAAAGAAAATGACACAGTATGTACCAGAGGACACAATCAATAGAGGCATGGAACTCTGAAGAGGAGGAACACCTCGTAGAATCCTCAGCGCACTCAAGTGTGAGCAACCATTCCTACTCGCATCCATTCCAGGAGTCCTTTTACAACCTATGATGGAGGCTCAATCATCCAAGCCTGGCATATTGGTGATTTTAAACCGCTCGTCTCCTCAGTGACTGCGGGTCAGCTCCTGGTTATTCTCCTTTGGAGAAGCTCAGAAAGGGCAGAGGGCTGCCTCAGGAACTGAGCAGGCTTCTTCTAGAGTCAAAACAGTCCCTCTGCCACCCATTCTCTCCTTCGCTGAAACTACCTTAACAGGGGGGAGCAAAGCCACCACTGCCGCTGTATTCTCCCAGCAGTGGTTATGAACACATAGAAGCAAAGAAAAAAGAGCAGTTAATTCGGTAGAAACTGAGAAAGCAGGAGAAGCAGACAAATAAGAAACGTGGAGGCTTTAGACAACGTAACTCGTTTGGAAGCTGAAGAGAAAAGGATGAAGTCTTGAGCCACAAATAAGCAGACGGGCAAGAGAAATTCTGAAGGGATCAAACACCGCGTTACAGCCGGCACACAGGGCACCTCAAAAATTACTGCGGCCACCACTGAAAAACGCGCACCGAACTCGCTAGGCTAACTCAAGGCCCGCAGTTAGCAACAGTTCGTTAGCAGCACCGCGCCAGCAGCGCTCCCCGCTCAGCCGCCCGCCCCTCGCAGCCACGGATGGCGGCACTGCGCTGGCCATGGAGGGGCCGCGCGGGGCAGGGCCTGACGGCAGCCGGCTCGCGTCCCTCTTCAATTCGGCTTTTAACGATCGATTCCCGACGCCGGGCGAAGCGAAAGGGCAAAATCGCCGGGAGGGAGTGCCGGCGCGCTACCCTGCCGTAATAACGAAGCCGGCCGCAGGCCCACCCGCCGGCAGCAGATCCGGCCCCGCCACTTACGGGGACGCGCTCCTTTGTCGGTGACCTCCGCGGCGCCGGGTTTCATCTTCCCGCGGCCTCACATCCTCCTCTCCTCCCGCCGGGAGACACGCGGGCGCGGCACCGCCGTTACGCTTCCCTCAGCCGCCGGCCCCCGCCGGCCCCCGCCGCCCCCTCCCTTCCGTCTCCCGGCAGGACAGGGCAGAGCCTTGGCGCTCCGCGGCCCACGGGCTCCCGCCCCGGCCCGCGCGCTACCAACGGTCCGCCGCGCGCGAGCCCCGCCCCGGCGGGAGGGAGGCCCGGAAGGCGCCGCCAGGCGGGGTGAGGGGAACGCGGCGTGGCGGGAGGGGGAAAGAGGCCGCGCGAGGGCGGGAAGCTTGCGTAGGGGTGCCGCCTCACTTCAGTGCCGTTCTCACACGGGAAGACGCGCTGCGGCTGTCCGCGCCGTGCTGAGGGCGTGGCGGCGGCAGGGGGAGCGCCTCTGCCCCGCAGGGTCCTAAATGTGTGGAGGGACACATCAGTATGGCGGGTTGTGGGGGCGAGTCCTGGTGCGCGTTGCTCAGTTGCCTCGTCTTTCGTTTTAAATTCGGGGAACGTAGCAAAACATTCACAGAATCACGGAGTCTTAAGGGTTGGAAGGGACTTCTGTAGATCATCCGGCCCATTGCCATTGTACTGACACTAGGCACCACTAGAAAGAGCCCGGCCCCATCCATTCGACTCCCTCCACTTTAGGTATTTATAAACAGTGATAAGATCCCCCTCAGCCTTCTCATCTCCGTGCTGAACAGTCCCATGTCTCTCAGCGTTTCCTCATTAGGGAGATGCTCCCACTCATCTTTGCAGCCTGCTGCTCCAGAAGTTCCCTGGACTGAGCAGCTCAGAATGGGACACAGTACTCCTGGTGTGGCCTCACCAGAGCACAGAAGAAGGGGAGGATCACCCTGTTGGCTGCACTCTTTTTAATGCATTCTAGCATGCCGTTGGCATTGGCCACAAAAGCACACTGCTGGCTCATGGCCAACCTGTTGTCCACCAGGACACCCAGGTCTTTCTCTGCGAGCTCCTCTCCAGGAGGTCAGCCCCTAACTTGTACAGAAGGATAAGGTTATTCCTCCCAGCTGTAGGACTCTGCACATACCAGCATTGAACCTCATTGGGTTCCTCTTCATCCAACTTTCCAGCCTGTCCTATGGATCAAATACAAAGCTTAGATCAATACAAACTAATAAAGTCACAACTGCACTTACTAAATCTGTGTGCATTTTCAAAGGTATGGCCCTCAAGCCATCGGATTTGTTTTTCAGGTGGTCCTGTGTGGAGCCAGAAGCTGGGCTCAGTGATCCTTGTGAATCCTCTTCAACGCAGGATGTCATTTGGGGATTTTGTGTCCTGAAAATGGGCTCGTTTGGCTTTTTGTTTGGTTTTCTTTTTGTTTTCTTTTTCTGCCTAGATTTATATTAGCTCCTTATTTCTAGAGTCTGTGCTTACATTTCTAAGGTATTGAGTCCTTGCCTGTGAAACTGCACTGCAGGATTTGTTAAAGGAATTAATATTTACTGGCAGCATTAGTGCCGGTCAGTCACTGCTTGTTGTTTAAGGAGATTGCTCAGGAAGCCATTACCAACAGGCTGTGATTTGGATTCACCAGGAGACCTCTCTGGATTTTCTCATAGGAACGACAGAAGCAAGAGGGGGGTCTGGACGAAGTGCTCTGCTCTGCTGCAGTGTGTGGGCTGCAGGCAGGGCATTTACCTTTGTACAGACCATTGACATGCTCCTAAGGCCTTTATTGCCACAAAAATGTAAGGTATGTTACATATTTAATGTGGTTTGTAAAGTATCAGGTACCTTATGTTAAAAAGTTTAGAAAGTTCTCCTGTTATTTAGAAAACTTAATTTCAAACAAAACCCCACAAAACCAAAAACCTGAGTTCCCTATATTACATTTTCTTACATTACTGCTGCTTATATGTAATGCATTAGTAAAAATTAAAAATATTTTTTACTTGATTTTTCTGCAAGTTGTAAGCCCAGTCTTGCAATATACTTCTTCTGTTCCTCAATAGATTTTTCTTCTCCGAGGATAAAGCGATGGCTGAGATGAGTAATAGTAATTTCAGCAAAACAACCACTATTCAGCAGGCAGTGTCCTCTTGCTGCGGAGCTATAATTACATCATTGTTTGGTAAGGCAAACTATTAAGCTTGCTACAGAGAAAATCTTTGCAAAGTGATTGCTCTTTGGTTTAATGGAGCGTGCTGACTGCATATATGTGGTTTGTAAACTTCTGCTAATATGTTCTTTAAGTATGTGTTTTGTTTTTTTTTTTTAATTATATCAAATATGGTGGTTAATTGAAATCTTTACCCTCCCTGATAACCTTTAACTATTTTTGAAAATAAGAGTAATTTTAATTTTTTTTCCTTTGTCTGTTTTCACTGCTTGCTTTCTGGAAAAACGAACAAACTACAAATAAATAAATAAATAAATAAACAAATAAATAAAAATTAAAAAGAAACAATAAAAATGACTTTTCATCCTTTCTGCCACTTAAAAATAAATTTTAAATGAAAGTCTGCAGTTCAAGATACAAACCCTGCAAGGCTGTACGCTGTGAGATGTCCTCTTCATGTTACCACTGCAGTAGTAACATCGTTTTAATTGTTATGCTGTTGTACTCTGTCAGAGCATTTTACCGTTTCCTTAAGCAATTTTAAGGATAGTTTTTTTTGTAAGGTCTTTCAAACTTGCAGATAATCTGTGAAATTGAGCTTTTACTTTTATTCAGTACTCTAGCTCATGAACTCCTTTCCCATGTGCACCTAAGGAGGCACTGGTTGGTTGGATTCAGTACTTCATATCTCTTGGAGCTCATCAAGCTTATTCGTATTTCTGTTACTTTTTGCCTTAAGCTAGCCTTTGGTTCTGACTTTTAACACTGACTAAGCTGTAGAGAAACTTACAATTTTCTAAGCATGACTCCTTCCCCCAAAACCTTCCAGACTTTTATGAATTAGGTTCTTACCAAATTCAGTCTATTCATTCTGTCATTACACAATGTGTCCTGTGATATTAGATAAAGTAGTAGGCAAAGCTAGATCGGACCTCTAGAATTCCCAAGATGTATTTCGAATTTTGTGCATAAGGTTCTAGTTTAAGGTATTCAAGGTCTTAGGAGTATAGGTATAAGGAGACCTTTTCCATTCTGAAGTGGTACCTGGGAGACTAGGAAGAGTTATGTGCAATTGGCTAAATGATAATAAAAGCCAAATTTTATATAACTGAAATGAGCTGCAGTCCCATCGAGATCCCTGCATTTAGATACAGAAAGGTGAGCAGAGTGTACTGGTCAGCAGACGGACATCAGCAGAGAGCTAAGGAGTAAATATTTGCCTGGGCACAAGCATGTCATGTGCACATTCTGGGTGATTTGACCTAGTCACCAGCTGCTGCTTAATGAAATTGTAGGTTCTGTGTCATATCTGTCCACTGTGCAGATATTTTGGATACCTTGGAGTCTCGCATGGCACTAGCTGCTGTGTGTCGGTAAGTGATTGAAGCCCTGAGTCAGTGCCATCAGCAGAGGTTGGAGAGTGGTCCAGCTGACAAACAACTGCAGTGTTCAGCATGTCTAGGACTGTTGTGCTCAAGTGCTGGATGGAAGCAAAAAAATGTTCCCTAACCCTACATTTACTTCTCAACAACTCTGAAGTTTTAAATCTGCTCTACACAGAGGAAAGAAGGAAAGTACATCATAAATTTAAAGTTTGTTTGTTTGTTTTGTTTTGAACATCACTATGTAGATTCGTTTAATGAAAAAGAATAAATGCATAGAAAATGCTGTGGTTTTTTACATGCTTGAGGACAAAATCTGAAGTTCTCTGGTTTGCCATTTATAAAAAGTTAGCAGCCAGAGTGGAGTAGCACAGCTTTTAACAATTTCATACAAGTTGGCACAATGTGGTTTTTTGTGAGCTTTGTTTATCCCAAGCAGTTCTTTGTTCAACTGTTGGTAAGTTAGAAATGACATATAGGGGATGCATAGGTTGGGCTGGTTTGGGTGGTGGTGATTGTTTGCTTGCTTTCCCCCTCTGGCTGATTACATTGTAAAATAGTTCTCATTCTTCTTCCCTATCCCCCATCCCCGATAAACAAGTTGTAAAAGTTCCTGATGAATTTATGTGCACACTTCTACATTTTCAGGTTATGATGTGTTTCTAAATGACTACTTTGCTTCATTTTAGTAACTCCTCTTGATGTTGTCAAAACTCGACTGCAAGCCCAAAGCAATCCGTTCCCCAAAGGTAAGCAATGTTCTGCAGTTGAGGGCGCACTTTGCTCTTTGCTGTCACACTTAGCAGGTAATTGTCACAGCGCTGAGCAGCGCAATGGCTTTCTTTGTTTCTCAGTAGCTAAGTTTGTTTCCTCAGTCAGTGAGCTGGGAAAAAAAAAAATATATATATATAAAAAAAAAAAATATATATATATATATATATGTACACATACTAAAATTGCTACAGAAAAGATGTGCTACTGAATAGATACAATGGAAAAAAAATCTTGTGAATCAATTTAATGTAAAGTAGGCTGTATGATCTCTTTCTCAGTATGGAAGAATGTACAAATATTACTCAATTGAGTAAAAAAAAAAAAAAGCTATTAATACATTACTAAATATTTTGATAAGGGGCTTATGTGATCACTGTGTTATATCAAAGTCCCTCTCCTCCAGAATCCAAAAACTTTCGAAAATGAGTAGTAAAAGTTTTATCTAAGTCTTGTCAGCTGGGTTCTAAATAGATTAATACATTCTGTGCTCAAAGACTTGACTATTTGGTTGTCATTAATAGAGGAGATTTAAAAGAAAAAGAGATGGCTGCTGTAGAAGTTTCTTGTATGTGGAGATAAGTATTTGCAGTAACAGTTGCCATAAATTAAAAAAAGGAAAATGCTTGTGGTTGGTACTTCAGTAAATTGTAAACTCTTCAAAAGTGTGAAAATGTAATGTGGGACTCAGTATGTTTTTGTACTGGCAGCAGAATTTTATCTAGCAGATTCAAAGTACATGATGTAGAAGAAATAAAAATTAGATGATCAAGTGCGAATATAGATTTGCCTAAGATGTAGTAGCTCCATCCATAACACGGATGCAGGGAAAGCTCAGCAAGAGATTTGAAAGTCAGAAGGATGTTCAGAAAGCACAAAGGTGACACTCAGGACTTGTGTCGTTGTCTTTTATTCTTCAGCAGGTGGCACTGCTACACAGTTTGTCTCCCTGAGCCCGTGAGGGCAATTTCCTTTCCTCTGGCACTGCGAGGGACAGCTTTGTTTTCTTTTTCCTTCCACCTGCTCTGTTGATATTGACTTTGCAAAGCTACTTTGTCTCTATTTTTCTAACCAGAGATAAATCTGTCTCACCACTATATCCAATTGCTGCAGAGTAAAAACAATCATTTCAAAACACATTAATTATACTTCTATACACTGTTTATTAGGAAAATGCTTTGTATACTCCAATGGCCAGATGGATCATACGTGTGCTTGTGAGAATGGAGATGGCAAGGCATGCTATAAGAGAAAAGGGCATTTCAAAGGGACTTTGGTAAGGACATTTCATATTTACATGAAAGTGTACATTTTAAACATTTTTAAATGGCATACTGCACATTTTAAAGATTTATCTATTTATTTAAGTTTTTGCTGTTGTTTGAGAGGGTATTCATGTGGTTACACAGTGTAGTTTAGGTAGTGGTTAATGATGCCTTCTTTCTAGCTGAAAATGCAAATTCCTGTGGTAAAATGAGTAAGAGGGCAGCTGCACAGCTACTTGTTGGACTGCTATTATATTACACATGTGATCAAGGATTTTTCAGAATTCATTATTTGAGAAGAATGAAGTGTTCATGAAGTAGCTCCTTTTACCATGACCAAATTTTATTGAAATTAATAACTTGTCTGAATATTTCAATTAACTTTACCATATAATTTTTAGGAAATCTCTTAGTTTTCTAACTGACATCGTGCCGTGCCCATTTCTGCAATAACAAGATAATTCATGAAGAAGAATAACTATCATGTCATCAGATTGCCTTTCATAAAACAGTGCAGTAGAGAAAAATGTAGTAGACGAGGTAGTTTGCCCATGCTAGAACCATTCAAATGTTCTGATATGTTTGCCCAGACCATTAGTAAAATACATGCATTTGCTGCTCAGACACTGGATTTTGTTGCATCCTTTCTCCTGTCATTGATTTGTACCTTCCTGGACTGTAGATTTCTTGATTCAGCGTTATGAACACATCCAGAACTAACAAATACAAAAGAAGCTTGAAGAAAACAAAATGTTAGTGCCAGCCCTTTTTGTAACCTGTCGGGTTCAGTATCTTCTGAGGCCCTGTAGTAAAGCCTGATCTTGTCCTTATTCTAATCTGTCAAATTTCAGCCTCTTCCTCCCAAAAGATTAAGAAAAATAAGTTCCCTAATATTAGGGAATTTATCTCTTGAAGATGTTTTCAATTCAATGGCCACCAAGGCTCAGTGTTCCTCTGCTGTCAGTGGCCTGGGAAATGTATGGACAGCTGTGATAAGTTGTGAGCTTCCAAATATATCATATATGATATACAATTTGCTAATATCTTGTCAGGAAAAGAATGTATCAAAGAACCAAGAGTGAACTGCTATTTCATGCCTAGAAACTTTGTTCTTTACTAAACAAATATTTTAGTCATTAGTTTTGGGGAAGATTGGCTGCTGTGGCCGCTGTATTTGTTCTGAAGATAACTTATTCACAGGGCTGTCAGTTACCAAGAAAAACTTACTAATGGAAGAAAATAGTTAATTTCAAGCACAAATATTCCTGCTCATCTCAGATGAACTACTTGTATCATTGAATTTGATGGCTATCATAAGCAGTTACAAAATTGCAATCTTAGAATCATAAGCTGTTTTAGAAACACACTCCTAAAGAAAAGCTTTGCAGCTAATTATTGCTCTTTGCCTGGTTATATTTTTAGGATGCTTTTGTGAAAATTATTCAAATAGAGGGAATTAAATCCCTTTGGAGTGGACTTTCCCCAACACTGTAAGTAATTTCATTTTTAAACAAATAAGTGATTTTAAAAAATTTGCTACATCTGAAGTTACAGATAATGGTGTCATCAGCTTGATCAGAAACATTTTGGAGGTGGTATCTTTCCCACCAGAACTTGCTATTTCTCATTGCAACCTTTTTGGTATATTCTCACTATATAAGCAGGGACATCTAACTTTTCATTTTGCCTTTAGAAGACGTATCCTGTGTACTGTAACTTCCCCATTGGTAGCATCAGCAAATCACAGGATCTGTGTTAATTGTTTGAGAATGTTAGTCTGTGATATTTGCTGGTCTAGATTGTTACTAGTAACCTGCAAGATCCAACACAGTTTCCTTACTTAAGCAAAATGTCCATACAAGATGGCTGACTTCATTCTCCTGCTTTCCTTGCACTAATTCAGATTCCCTCTTTTATATTTTAGAATAATGGCCCTTCCTACCACAATAATCTATTTTACCTGCTATGAAAAACTGAGTGAAGCTCTGAGGTCTAGACTAGGAGAGGACAATGACCACATTCCACTTGTTGCAGGTTCCTTAAGCAGATGTAAGTTGTCTCATGTTTAGAGAAAAAAATGAAATGCAACATCTGTATTCTGTTTTCATTTCTTCTGCTTTTCCTCTCCTCTCTCTCCCCCCTCATTCTTCTCTTTTTTCAGCAAATTTGTTGTGGCTTTAAAAATGGGTAATGTTATGTGGAGCTGGGCATTGGAAGGAATCCTACATTTTCCCACCATTTCTTCAGTAATATAACTCTCTTACTTGGACTGATGTGATTTATTTTGGCTGTCACATTATCCTGGGCTGCATCAAAAGATGCAATCACTGTGGCCAGTGATTGAAGGAGGTGATTCACCACCTCTGGTCTGCCCTTGTGGAGTCCCACCCAGAGTACTGTGTCCAGGCCTGAGATCCCAGCACAAGAAAGATGTTGAGCTGTTGACTGTGTCCAGAGGAGGCCATGGAGCTGATGAGAAGGTTGGAGCACCTCTCTTGTGAAGAAAAGCTGGGGGAGCTGAGCTTGTTCAATCTGAAAAAGAAGAGGGTCTGCGGAGACTTCATTGTGGCATTTCAGGACTTAAAAGGGGGCAGCAAGAAACCTGGTGGGGGACTCTTATCAGGGAGTGTAGTCGTAGGACAGGGAGGAGTAATGGCTTTAAACTAAAAGAAGGTAGATTTAGGTTAGATATTAGGAAGAAAATCTTCACCATGAGAATGGGGAAGCACTGGAACAAGTTGTCTAGAGAGGCTGTGGATGCCCCATCCCGGGAAGCATTCAAGGCCAGGTTGGATGGGATCCTGGGCAGCCTGATGTAGGAAAGGTGTCCATGGTCATGGCTTGGGAAGTGGAACTACATGTCCTTAAGGTCCCTTCCAACCCAAGACATTCTTTCTTTCCATTAAATATATAAGGCAACGTGAGACTTAACTTCTAATGTTCAGGAAATGTTACTTGTAAATCTTGATTTTTTAAAAACCCCACATTTTTCTCATTTTCAGTTGGTTCAGTTACTGTAGTGAGTCCATTGGAGCTGATCAGAACTAGAATGCAGTATCACACCTTGTCCTACAAGCAACTGCACTTGAGCATCAGGAGTAAAGTGGCCAGAGAAGGGTGGCTTTCCCTGTGGAGAGGCTGGAGCTCTAGTGTTCTGAGAGATGTGCCTTTCTCAGGTGGGGTTTATTTCAGATAAAAGTCTGCATCGTGTAAGATAGGTTTTTTTCATGATTCTTTTGCACAGTTTTTTGTATTTTTATGTTATTTTACAAAAATGATTAGCTTTAAGAATAGATTTACTTTTTCTCTTTTGAGTGTTTGTCTGTAATTTTGTTTATGGATGCCAGATTGTGTTCAGTGTTACTTTTCCCTTTCCCTGTGTTCAGACTGTTTCATCTTACATAATGTGTGTTTTTAAGGCTTTTGTAGGAAATGTTCTCTACGATAGGTATGCTGGCTATTTCCTTATAGAGGGACATTCTGTATTTGTGTTCTGATGCTTGATCTTGAAAAAATGTACAAAGACAGGGCAACACAGTAGGGAGTGTCTTCAGGCATTTTTGCTAGCAAGATGAATGAGTTTGTGTAACTGTTCAGAAAAGATGAAACTAGAGCACCACTTGGCAGTGCAGCTTCAAAGCTGAAAGTCTACAGGAAAAGTCTGACCCAGTGCTATACTGCAAGATAACTGGGACAAAGGAGATCACGTGTTCTCCCATTTTGTTAAAGCTCTGCTGTCTCTGCATTTGGAAATAATTGGACAAGAGCGCTGAAGGACAGCTTTCCAACTTAGTAATGCCAGTGGTTAAAACCCATGTCTCTTTGAGGCCCTTCATTGTCAGGGCACTTGGGAATAACTGGGCAGTAGTTGTTCTCAAAGCTGTCTCTGTCCTTTGGATGGAATCAGGAATCACACCTTTAAACACCTTGTGTTGGTCCAGAGAAATGCTTCAAACCCATTTTCAGATATTTAGCTTAGAGCTGCACTTAGTTCTGCTAACTTACATAACTACTATTTCAGGTGTTTTGTTTTCAGTATGAATAATACTCTTTTTCTTTTGCTTTGCTACTGGCAGATATTTAAACAAAGTACTTATGCTGCATTTCCTTCTTAAGGATATGCTGTTCCTTGATGAGACTTAATTTCACATTACATGATAAGGAAGGCTTCTGAACGTGTGAACAAACACTTTAAGAGAACAGTATTCAAAATCCATCCTTTGCTTGAAGGGCTTCCTGTCCAATATTTATTTGCAATTCACTCATTTTCTCTGTCTGCCAAATGCATTTTTCTCTTAGAGCTTCAAAAAGGATTCTAAAATTCTTCTTCTCATTCTTATTATCTGATTACAAGTAGAAACTCTTGCTCTGCTACTGATGTTTGTAGAGACATGGCAGGAGCCAGTTGTCTTTCCCTCTGATGCTTTCAACAGAGTGGAATGATCAGTTTGGCATGAGAGTGCACAAAGGGGAGGGAACCAAGGTGATGCATGTGCTCTTTTCACATTCTTGTATCCAAGCCTCGAAGCTGATGATATAAATGATGAATATTTAATCTTGATTAATGTTTCACAATGTGTTTTCTGAATATTTTTCCTTATAAATACTCTCTCTGCAGTTAAGATGTGCTCCTTTATTACCTTCTCTTTGAATGATACACCAACAGCATCGTGGGTTCTGGTATTTTTACAGCAGTCCTCACCTTCGCTGCAGTTAGCTTTCTCTAGAGGAATTAAAGTCAGTGCAACAGTTTGTATTAAGAAAGCAGCTGCTCCGTGAGAGCTCTCAAGTAGCACAGAATGACAGTGTTAGCAGCACAGCATAGAGTCCCACTGTGTTAACCCAAGTGTGAATGATAGCTTCCACAGTGTTCCTTGGACAGCAAGCTGACTTGCACAAAACTCAAGGTGTGAGTGTCTGATAGAAGCACAAGAGCTGGATTAACAGTAGCGGTTGAGTTATCAAGCAGTGTTGCAGAGAACATACATGTGAAATGTACGGAGGGAACAGAGTCTTGCACATGCTCTAAGTTTGGATTTAGATAATCTATACTAAATTAGGGTTACATGTATTTCAATAGTAAGTTTTCCCAATCTCTGAGATACAGCCTAATTTACTTTTGCAAACTACTGGAAGCTTGGTTTCCACAGCAAGAAAATACTTTGATATTTCTCCACCGCCACACGATGCAGAACTCAGTGCTGAATGAGTCACAGCTATCTTTTAGGGTGCACACCTCTCATTTGCAGTATGTATTCCACCAACTGCACAAGGAAGCACTCCGTAACTCAGCTCAGTAACTTCTGCATTCTAACTAAAATTTATTAAAGTAGAAAGAGTGCAGCTTATTGCAGCAGAAGAGAACAAAAATAGATGTTACTTCTGAAAGTTTTTCCTCAGAAAGCCTCTGCGAGGACTGTGGAAGGCAAGTCTTTCCTCAGTAATTCCAGAGAGCAAAGCCATACTTCTTGGTTGTGTCAGAATTAAATGTTATATAGTATGGTCCAAAAGAATATGTGACAGGCTTGAGGAACCTTTCATCTTCTATGAAGCGCATTTTTGTTTTTACCAAGGTTTATGAAATATATGAAATATCCCTGAAAACATGGAAAATAATTAGAAACTTCAATTTTGATTTATAGAATATCACATTAAAATACTCTGTTCTATGAGTTTTGTAATGTTTATGTTAGATTGTCTTAAGATAGGAGATATTTTATGGGGATGACAAAATGATTTGGCTAATTTGTATCGTATGAAATTTGGAATATGTGTATGGAGATAAGGTGAACTGGATAGACTGTCAAAGAGAACAATTCTGGTTTCCTTTCAAATTTGGTTTGTCTGTGATTCTATTACTGCTGTAGAGTTCTTAACATCTGTCACTGATAAAAAAGTTGAACCGAAATACAAATGTGTTGTAGTACAAGGTTTGTTTCTTTTGGATTTGCTTTTTATGACCACAGCAGTGTACTGGTATAATTATGAACGTTTCAAGAAGATGATGTGCAAGAGTGCAGGTGCACATGAACCAACCTTTTTGATTGCTTTTACTGCAGGAGCAGCATCGGGCTGTGTAAGTACACATTTTTGTTTCTACTGCTACTCTTATTATCGTCACTAACCAACTATTTATCTACTTACAAGTGAAGTGGCTTTACATGATTCTCTCAGAAATGATCATAGAATGATAGAACCATAGCATCTCAGGGTTGGAAAGGACCTACAAGATGATCACGTGCTTGGAATAACTAAACTAATTTTAAGTTGTGTGCAGCTTAATGTAAAAAAATGACTTTTTACTTGTTGGTAATCTAACAGTAGAACTGTGGCTTGATTTTTCCTAATAGATTGCAGCTGTCGTGACTCTGCCATTTGACGTAGTGAAAACACAGATGCAGACTGAAATGTGGGAGAGTGAGACTTTACAAAGTAAGTTGCAGGTCACGACATTGTTAAACAGCTGTTTTTAGCCTGTCTGCTAACCACGTCCGCTGTTGAACACTCAGAATTCCCTTAAGATTGGTTTGCTCAGCAATTCCTGCAGAACTGTTTAATAATAATCCACATGTTTAATAAATGCAGTGAAGCTGATTCTTCTAGCCGCAATTTAAAAAACAGAACCCAAAAGACATAATGCTTAGGTACATGGATTTTTGATAGGCACTTCAAATATTCATCTCTTCAGTTTCTCTATGATATCACTAAGCATTTTTGTCTTTTCCACATTGAAACACTTTGTACAATAATACTTATCTCCTAGGATAAAGCAGTATCTCATAAATGACACAGAGGGAAAAGGTGTGAGGAAAGTACAACTCATAGTAATATGTGATGTAAATTACCAACAGAAAATCCAGAACTATTACAGTAAGGCAGACTGACTGCCAACTTACAGACGTTCCTATGTGAATGGGGAAATATTTCAGCTCTTTTAAAACATGCATGTGAACTGGGTTCTATTGAAAAAGTCTTTTCAGTTGATGAAAATCACGTGAAAAAATGTTTGCACATTCACTAGCAGTTGATACTAGAAAATAAAAACAGCCATGTAACTCTTAACACATTTTATTTAATAACAATATTGGTTTTTTGCTAGAGTTTAAGCTACAGAAAAAGTGCTTTCTTTGCTCAGATTATGTATTTTTAACCATTTTTTTTGGTGTGTGATTTCAAAGAAATGATTTTTGAGGGCATGTCCGTAATTACCCCATCAATTTTAAAGGACAAAGGGATTTCTTCTTTTTGTTTTCTGTTCAGTAGAGCGCCACTACGTTTTTAGAGCAATTCAAGTTGTATGTGAAAATGTAGCTTTCCATTACCTGGGAATCAGTGAGGGACTTCTATTAACCTGAACACAAGTTAGATCATGGCTTTAAGATGAAATAAGAGTAGAAAGATGGAGTAACCAGAAATGAGGTTCTGTTTAGAAGCTCATTTAAAGGCACTTGTCCAGAAAGATATCATGAAAACACACTGATTGCATTTTGGCATAAGGTTTCATTCTCTTAGGTAAAATATCTTTTTTCTGGTGTAATTCTTAAAAGACATTTATGTTTCTTCTGCGGAACTGCTTGAGATTTATAAAGTCAAATACAAATTGTTACTGTGTTTCGATTCTTCCCTTGCACTGATGAATGTAGGAATTCGTTGCTCTTTGAACACCTCTTTGAATCACAGCTAGCTGCCTAATATTTATTTGGCTGATACGAATTAGATACATGTTTTAAATTTCAGTATGCTAATCTCTAACTGGTATTGGTTGCATTCTTTCCAAATGCAGCTGTTGTCAGAGCTGGATCCTGACAACGCATCTACAGTTTCTCTACTATTGCCAAAATACTTCACAGCTTCCAGATGCTGTAGGATGTTCCTCATAAATGCATGTTATGAAATTTTATCTAAAAAATAAGATCTTGGCTTCTTCCATATTACAGATCAAGGAAAACAGCACGTGCAGAGTGAAGTACCACAAAAAACTCCTGTTTGAAGCAGTTGCACATGTCTGCAATGCAGATGGCTTCTTGGTGCAGTTGCTCGCGGTATCTGAATCATCTCTACCAGGGCCTGCAGCCTACATCTCATAGATCCACCATTTCTCAAACATATATGGTTTGGGGGTGTGAGATGGTTTTCATCAACTTAGACTTTTCAAGCTTTTGTAACATCTGCAAAGTGTCCTACCTTAATTATTACACTCATTCTTATGACTCATTATATCAGTTCTCAAAACTTACCTTTAGATCCACCTTACCATAAAACACAAGTTCACTTTTGAAAACGATCTTTTAGCTGCATGTATAAAGTGACCTGCAGTGAGATAAGCTCATGTGAAAGCTATGCAATATTTTCAGTTATGTCAGTTACTCCAGTAGCAAATATTGTCTCTGTAGAATTTACTCCAGGCATTACTGTGATCTTTTTCTATGTCATGCTATTTTAATTTCAATATTAATTTACATACTGCATGAATTTAACATTCTATATAAATAACTTCATATATACATACCTAAATTATAAGTTAAGATAAATTGAAGCTTATCATTGCATCCAAAGCAACATTTGATCTTTAATATTTTTTTTTTTCCTGTGGCATTGTCTGTACTGTTTAATTCACTGTTCTGTTGTACTGTGTTGAGATCCACAGAGGGACTGTGCGTCTACCTGGGCAGTTATGAGGAAAATTGTTGCTCAAAAAGGGATTGCTGGATTATTTGCTGGTAAATCTTTTGACATCTTTCTAAAAAATCACACTAAAGTTTTTGATTATTAACAAGCCATTGTTAGATATTAGCATGCACAAATTATGTATTTCCATCTTTGTGAACACACACAGTCACTGTCACAGAACAGATTGTAAAGAAACAGACAAAGTAACAGACGTGCACACATGCAGAGGGAATCGTGTCCCTGTCTTCTTGAATGTCTCATCCCAGCTGAGAGGCCACTAGTCTCTGCTCCTCCTATGCCAGCAGCTCTGCACTGATGCTGCAGGGAGGGCCCAGCCTGCCCCCATAGCCACCTCTGCTGGCCTGGAGCACAGCAGCCTGCAGGTCGGGCTGCTCCACCTCTGTGGGAAGACAAGCAGGCAGAAACAGGAGGTGCTTCAGTCAGGCAGCCTGCACAGATGACAGATGTGAGGGCATAATGTCCTTACAGTGGTAACGTCTCTCATCAGTAACACTGCTATTTTTGAGAAACGTGGACACAAAGAACATCCCAATGCTACAGTGTTATAGTCTGGAATCAATATAATATGACCATTTAATGGCTCTAGAGTGATTCAATGTGAAAACAGATGAGAATGAATGCTTTCCTTTCTTTTCTGGGCAGGTATTACTCCACGGCTGTTTAAAGTTGCTCCTTCTTGTGCCATAATGATCAGCACATATGAATATGGGAAGGCTTTCTTCAGACATTTAAATGAAAAGACAAACCAGCATCCTTAAGACTCCTTCATCCAATTGCATGAAGTCGAAACACATGGAGAAACTTCATTTTTTCACTATTTCACAAAGGAGAAATTGGCTATTTTTTCCCCCTTAAGAAAAATACACGGCCTTGAAATGGTTACTGAAAATTTTGAGAGTTCTCTCTTGCTGCTACAAAGGGGAAAAAAAAAAAAAGGCACTTAGACTGTTCCTCAGTGATGATTAAAAAGGAAAAAAATAAGCCTGGCCAAAATGACAAAGAATAACCATTGCCACTCTTAATCTTCAGTCTGACTAAATATTTTGTTGGATGTTTAAAGTAATGTTTAGACAATACTGTAGGTAGCCCAAAGGAAGAGACATCTCCATAAGGAAGCTGACAGAGAGTAAATTCAATAAGGATTTGCTTAAGCTTGCTTAATACCTTTTCAATTGCATGAATGTTTATTTGCAGCTCCATAATTTGTGCAAATGGATACTTTTGATTTTCAGGTTTATTTATAACAAGAAGTGTTTCAGGTCAAGCTGGAAAAAACATAGCGGCTGTTAGAATCCCAGAGAACATCACGAATCCACTGCCAAGTGCTGCAGTGGCTTTTTAGTTCAAGATAGTATTTTTAGTGCATGCTCTTACTGGGAAGCACACCTAGGCACTGAAACCAGCTGTGCTAGTGTGCTGGAGGAACATTCCAGAGCATTCACACGTTTGTGACCCCCCCATAACACCTTGTAGATCCCAGAAAAGCTCCAAGACAGAGGCAGGCTCCCTTCCAGGGAGCATTTCCCATGCATAGTTTGCATAGACAGCAAAGTCTTATTCTACTCTGAAGGCGTCCCAGTGTGTGTTTCACCTTGGTAAAAACTCAGCACACACTCTGAAAACGCCTTAGTTGTGGGGAGAGACATTAGGCAAGAAGTTTACAGCGTATGGTGCAGGCAGAACCTCTTGCCATGGTAGACATTTGACACTGTTCCCCCTGTTGTGATTATAAAAGTAAGTTTACACCTTATTTTGAGCTTCTATAGTCAAAAGAGCCAAGAGAGCCAAAAGACAAAAAGCCGTAACAGCAGATTTTGTGCCGCACATGGGATACAGTAACAACATCTCTCTGTTGTCTGAGAAAGAATTTGCTGCAAATTCACTAATACTGTGATTTGCCAAATGCTGTTATTTTACCTTTTGTTCGATTAAAACAGAGACAAAAACTAGTGATGAACGATGATACAAAATGTTTAATTTACATGCAACATTCATGGAACGTCAAGGCAACAAAACATACAGTTTGGGCATTTTTTTCAGTGTGGTTTTTTTTTTTCTGAAAAATGATTAATGTTTAAAACTGAGAAAGACACACAGCGATTTCCCATGCACAAAATGACACCCAGAAACTCACAGCAGTGTCAGACTACATAAAAGACTTCAGTTAAATGACACGTGAATTTCACACCAGTAGCTCCAAGAAAAGAGCCATCAGCTAACATGACTGAAGATCATGATCATAGTCCCCTCCAAAACACTGATGAAGTGGGAGAAGCATTTAACAGCAAACAAGACTGATTAAATCACTACACCTCGATGGAGGATGTTAACTTTGGAATCTGGATTCCCTTGTATAGTATTCACAGCAGACATGCACTCTTTAACTTATAAATCAGTATTTAATGTTACTCAACTACCAGGAGAGAACAGGTACTTAAGTGTAACAACCAAAAACAGTTACAAGAAGGAATGGACATTCTGACAGTGTGTGAAAGGATGTGATATTCTGAGTTCGTTACAGAGAAATTAATTGAATGGTTTCATGAGGGATTAAAAAAAAATAAGGCCTGTAGGATTTTGCTAAGCCGCTGTAAAATTTCCTGTAGGAATGGCCTCCACCCTTGTTTTCTCCATGGACACAGTAACCTCCTGCACCATGGGCTAGAGCTCAGCAGATACATCTTGAACCACACGCAGCAAAATCCAGCAGTGCCTCAAGTTACAGAGACTTCAGCCTCTCTAAGAGTGAGGCTCATGCTGTCAGTGGTTTTAGTAAAGGTGAGAGTGAATTCTTTTTCTTTCAAGCCCACCCTACAACGAGAAGATTATTGTGGTAGTGCCAAGGTACCATTACAAGAGGCAAACCAACTAAAACCACACAGTGTAGTGACGTACTGTAAACATCTGAGAGTAAGCAATTGAAAATCCGTCTTGTATTGCAACTATCATGTAAACAATTTATGAAACTTCTTTGGCACAAAAAAAGCATTTTCCCTAGCACTTATAAATACAACATACTTACATGCACTTAAGATTTGTTTAAAAAGTTACTAATCATATTGAGAAGCATTACCTTGATTAGCAAAATTCTTAGATAAAGGATCCATTATATCTTACAAAGAATTAAGAATATAGTTTGCAATTCAAAAAATTAGTTTGCAAACTTTGAAACTGTAGACTAATCTGGAAAGTTAGTTTCATTTAAAAAAATGTTACAGGCTGTTTGTATCAGTAATTTAAATCAATGGCAAATAATTTGAGAAAACTGACCTAAGTAAGTTCTGCTGTATTACCTAATCAAGGAAAATACCTACTGCACTACTACAGAAATGAGAACAACCCTTAGCATGAGAATACTGTCATTACATTGCCTTTGTTTCCCCTTTTTCACTCTGCTTAGCTGAATGTTTTCAGTGATTTTTGTAAAGGTGAGAGTGAATGCTCTTTCTTTCCAGCCCACCTTACAATGACCAGACTGTTGTAGTAGTGCCAAGGTACCATTACAAGAGGCAAACCAACTGTAACTGTAATCTTGCCAATAAATACGAGCCAAACTTTGCAAGGAGCTAACCCCATCTTCCTCAGTCCCTCTTTTTCCAGTAAGACCAATAAGCCAAGAAATTTCTCATATAATATTAAATTATCTGTAAGCCAGGTCACTCAAAAGCTTGAAATTTGGCAAGCTTCCTCAATATTTACAATTTGCTAAGTATGCTTGACTTAGATGATCAACTTACATTTGTTACTGTCATGCAACTTCAAGAATTACTAAGAGTGCTTCAGTGTGGTTCTTCAGTGTGATTCAGCTGTCTCATTACTGCCATGATGCTAATAGGAATGCAAAATCTAACACTGAATCAACTTGAGAAGAGCTCTTGACAGGTTAAATACGCTATTTGAGGTCCTATGTAACACACACAGATGAAAATATGGATTTTTAAGTAAAATATTTATTTGCCTACAAAGACTGGCTTTAAGTTTTCCTGTCTCTTCTGCAAAAGTTGATATTTAGAGCACTGAAGAGAAGCACCAGGCTATAGTAGAGCCAGGCTGATAACCACTGCAAGGAGAAACAAAGGTTGTGGCAGTTAAGTAGGAGACTGATTTCCAAGTGCTTCATTTCAAAAATCAGTCAGAAGCGTCAGAATGCGTGTCCTGTACCTGACCAAGAGTTAAACAATTCAGGACTAAAGCAGGAAATTTGAAAAAGCCCTCGGGGGGAAGAAAAGCTGGAATGAAAACTTGGAGAATTAAACAGGTAACCACGAGAAGAAAAAATAAAGCAGCTTATTTTTGCCTTTGAACTAGCAGTCTTCATTGGAAGTCATATTGTGGAACATAAACCAAATGCATACAACATAAAGTCCTTCCTGCTTGCGTGCATCTCAAGATGGTGTTAAGCCTGGACTTGTCATCTCTGTTGTGGGACTTGCAAGATATTCACTTGATTTCAGACTTGTGAGAGATTTATAGCTTGCCACTGAAGTAAGAGAACCACAAAGACCAAGCAGTGACGGAGTGTCCTCCTTTCCTGTTAAAAAAAAACAAGAATTAAGCCAATCATCACAACTAAAGATGATCTGAACACGAAAAAATGAAGGAATAAAAAAAAAAAGTTTCGTTTAAGTTAGTATGAATTATATGTTACTGCTTCAGCACATACATACCTCACAAATGCACTCAGACATCATTAATTCCAACCTTCCCCACTGATGTGGAATAGAGATTCCTACCTCTGCATCACTGACTGGGCTGTAGTCAGCCTCCCACAAAGAGAGGCTCAGAAGACACTGATTCAAGCACTGCCTTTAGTTGAGTACACTAAATGGAAATGATTTCACTAATGCATCATCAATACCCAGTGCTAATTCTGAATAGAATTGAATAGGATTAGAACTAACTGGAATCAGAACGCATTGCTTTGAAAGTAAACGTTTGGTTTTATTTATTTATTTAAACTCTTGGTAACTTGAGGCATGTTATTTTGTGCCAATTCAGCTAATAAATAATGTTATAAAGAAACTGATTACCAATATATCTCCCTGTTTCATCTTTCTGGATCACCTGCAGAATAAAATAGATCACCCTAAACTAAGTTTAAAAGCAGCTTAAAAGGGTCAGAGGCATAAGACTTCACCTGACCAATTTTTCTAAATCACGTCTAAAAAGCAGCACTTATTAAAACTCTGCGACTTTTTCCTGACAGAAACACTTCATTTTTGTAAAGAAGGATGCAAGAAAAATAACAAAGGATACCTTGCCTCAAGCAATTTTGGAAAACAAACAAACAGACATGGTTCACTTGCATCGCATACAGCTCTCACTAGCAGTTTCCAACGGATTTTAGATCCCTCTTCTACTGAGCTTTTCTCAATTGACCAAAGAGCCTTCCTAAAGAATGAACCAGATAACTCCTTAGGAAGTCTTCATTTTTAGAAAAATCCTCATTAAAATTACATTTTAAGAATTCTAATTTATTTGAGGACATAAACCAAGAACAGCTTCACACTTTCTAGGTATGGTTCTTGAACTCTTCATGTGAAAATAAAACCTGACTACACAATTTGTTCAACAGTAACATGAAAGATTGCCACTCTGAGATGTACACAGGGGGCATGCAATCCTGCTGGTAAGATATCATGTCTTACAGAACCATATTAAAGCTTTGGTGCTGATGGACCTCACTCATTTAGAAGTAGGTCGTCATGCCTCCTTTGAAGACAGAGTCCTGCAATCAAAACTTAAGACAATACTTGTGTTGTCACTACATCTTAATTGATGGAAAAGAAAGTATAAACTTCAAAAGATTAACACTGAAAACAAAACAAAAACCCCACACTCAGCTGTTGGAAGTGAATCAGCAGAAGAACGCTCTTCATAACAGACATGCTGCTTCTATTTTTCTACACTACTTGGCACATTTAGACTTTAATTCTGCTCACTGTTTTTAAAAAGTTCTAAAGTTTGCATTCTTAGTATTTTTAAAGTCAAGAATTTTGAAGTTATGAACAAGTAAACGTCTGCATGAATTTGGTATCTTGTGAGATACAGGAAATTTCTTACATCAATTTCACTTCTGTGCCCGAAATACTGCTGTTCCACAACTTCTCCAAGCATTTCTCCGCTTTTCACAATTGCCCACTAGATGGAGCAGGTAAACTTTGTATACACACAGATTTTGAAGGGGACAGTGTATTGCATTTCTATATTAGCACTGCCCACAGCACGTTAAGTTTTCTCTTTCGAAAGAGGAGCAGAATGGGATCACCACTGGGATAATCCAGAAAAGGGAAAAAGTAACTTTAAATATTTCATTTAGCTATAGGAGGAAGACGCCTTTCTCAGGTTCTGTGATGGAGAAGAAACACATTTGAAGCTTGGCCTTCAATACAGCACAAAGTCCTATAATTATTGGGAGTCAAGGAACAGACTTGATAAATGCAAACTTATTTGGAAGTTAACAATGGCCCTTAGAGAAACTGAAAAAAATTGCATAATAATGGAGAAAATATGCAGTCCAATGTCCCAGACCGAAGATGCATCTCATACCTTCGTTTAACAAGTTTATTCCATCCTGCTTTCCGTCCTGTGAGTGACCTGGATCCAGAGAGGTTTGAGAAAGGCTGACGTCTGCTGAAAGTTGGTCCAAACTTTGAAAACTTTTCCTGTAAAATAAATAATAATTTTTAATATCAACACACCTAATGATCTCAACAGAAATATTTCTTTAGAAGTTTTTTAGTAAATAACAAAAAAAAAAATCATTCTTTTCTTAATAACTCTTCTGTGTTTTCTAAAACACTTTATTCTCTAAAGCAAGGGGTTTTTTCTTTGTGTTTTTTTTTTTTTTTTTTATAATTAATTCAAAGGAAGGAAATTTTTATTGTGAGAGAAACAATTTTTATGCTAGCTGATCCTTGTGCATCGTAACTTGCTATTCCTGTAGGATATGCTTAAAAGTATGCTAAGGGAAACGTATCATTTTCAGTTTCTCTGTTTCTTTGAAGGTAAGTCAAACCATTCAGCTTACTCATCCCATTGCTGACTGTGCTTCCTATAGAGTAGAGTGTCCAAGGCAACAGCATTGACATCCAGAGCTCCTGGGGAAGGCCACTGATTGGTGAGGTGAGTAGTCAATTCTTGTCTTGATCTCAAGTCATTATTCTTTAGCACAGTCCTGCAAACATAGAAAACAGTAAATCTCAGCATACCTACTAAATGCCCAAGTCAAGGTTCTACTTAAAAAATAAAAAATAAAATGACAGATTGCAGTTTTCAGAAGCAACTTAGTAACAGAAAAAGATTAAATAATATTAAAACAGTATTAAATAAAAGTATTAAATAGTGTTAAAAGAAAGCAGTAGCATTTTAAAAATGCTTTCTGCCGGGAAGATGATAATTAACAGACCAACTTTTTCCGCCCACGGCAGGATGACTGGAATAGATGATTTATAGGGTCCCTCCATTCCTTCCCGTTCTATGACTCTACTTTGCAGCCCAACGATCAGAACTTTGTGTTCTTTACTCCAATTTTTAGGGCATTTGAAATGCAACCTGCCTTCTCCCCACTCCCAAATAAATATTTCTGCAGAATGAAGAGAACACCAGACATACTGACTTTGTTACAAGCTTCCAGGTAAAATACAACATGTAATATTTCTGCTTTGTGCCACCTTACAGCTTTTAGTGAACTTTGTTTCTAAATTACTGAAAAGGCATTAACAGAAGTACCTTACAATTCAAATTAGTTTTGCCTCTTATTCAAATGAAGCAGATTAGTTTCCTGAAGTTTTGGAAATGAGGCAGCCAGTACACTAACATCAGAAATCACCCGCTAAAAATCATGCAGAAATAAGGAAAGTACACAGTTCTTCAGGCTTCAAGACAATGCCAGCCTTTTTCCAGTAGCATAAGGCAACCTCCAAGCTATGCTTGTGTAGTAGCATAACTTCAGAAACACAAGTAATATTGCTTATTTACCCACAAATCTCCAAACTGGGAAATTACCAGGCAACAGTACAAAGCTGCTTAACAACCTTTGAGTATCCGTGCCCTAAAGTACACAACCTGTGTAACAGTATCTCCATACTGAGTGCACTCAGTTGAAAGCCAAATATGATGTTGTATCTGAAATACCAAGCTGCACAGCAAGTTGAAGATCTGTTGATCATACGTGTACACTGAATGGATTCATGAGTATTACTATCAGTATATTTATTTTTACAATGGAGCTTTTACTCTTGTGGTATTTGAACTGTTTATAGACATGAACATCATTCGGTAAGGAGACATCATCCTACACAAAGAGCCAAAATACCCCTAAAAACAAGATTTGAGGAAAGCAAATCAAGTGATGACGAGGTTTGCTAGCTGGTCTGTCTATACGACCTCCTCACCCAGAAGCACTTGCTGACTTTTCAGTGGAAGACACCCTGTTTATATTAACAACTACACACACAGTAACTAACAGAACTCATACACATGCAACATGTACTTGTGAATTCCCATCCGGGCAACTCCTCTGTGTTATTACCACACAACTCAGCAGCAGCGTTAAGTTCTGAATAAATGAACATGCTGAGCAAGGAGAACAAAGCACACATGTGCAGGCAAGTTGGTAATAGCGGAGCTTCTGTATTTTACATGGGCTTCTATACTGGGGCTTGTCCCACAAACCTTCATGCTACAGTAATTTCACCCTTTCTGCATGGCAGGGAAATAGGCAGCGAGTTGGATACAGAACTCTCTCTTCTCTTGTTACATTATTTTACATGTAAAAATAATTTTGAATATACAAAATCAGCCTCACCACAGTATTTAGCTTTCACAAAAAAGCAATAAGGCAATAAGTAGTAAGAGAAATAATTCATAGCAGGTGCCAGTAGAGCCCATCCATTCTTTCAACCTTGTAAGTTATTTAGATGTCTGTCTTCTCACAGTCGTTTTTAAAGCACAGTAAGATTTAGCTGCAGCAAAGCCTTGTTAATAGCCTGCAAACAGTTGTTCTCCAAAGATAAAGAAAGGCACCTACAATTCACACATATTAACCAGACTTGTAAGAGTCAAAGCATTAAAATGCACAGCTTACATTATCTTAAAGCTTAGCCATCACGAGATATCACACAGGCTTTCAAAAAGGAGAAGAAATGGACACAAAAGTGTTTACCACACAAGTTAAAAAGGAAGGAAATCCGATCAAGTTTTAGTGGAAACAAGCATGCAAATGCCAAAATGCTCAAAGTGAAAAATGACACAACAGCACTGAGCACTGCCCTACCCTACGTATGGGTAAAATGAGCCATTCTGGAAAAGGCCTCAAAAGACAATTTATGCAATGCAGACTGAATGTCTACAGCAGCACTGTTTCTCCAAAAGCAAGCACTATAACTAGTGCTGATCAGCTCTGGGCTGCAATACTTCAGTGGCTGAAGTAGAGCTTTTCTTAATAATCACCATGACTGCAATGAAGACTGGGAGCTTTCCTCTGCGTGCTGACTGAACAGCTGGGCAGTAAAAAGGATATTGTTATTGAAACTTGTACATCTGACAGTATAGCAACATAAGTTTGGTGTATAAAAGCCTTCTGAGGAAAAATCAGAATAAACATTTCATAGGAATATCAGTGAAATTTATATATTTCACAAAACATTCAAGAATAAAGTGCAGACTTAGTATTTTCTGTTATTTGCACACACACACAAAGGAACTCCTTGGATCTTGACAGGGAAATACTTCAAATCTGTGGCAAACAGGCAACAAAAGTTCACAAACACAATGATGCTGATTGATATTCTATATAGAATGCTAGTGAAAGCAGGTAAATGCAGTAAAAGACACTGAACTGGGACTGTGTATGTACAGCAACTTTTACCCTGCCACCTCTGCTGCACAGAATGAGCCACTGGTAAGGAGCACCAGCTGTTGCTAACCTCCCACACCAGCTGAAAACCAGAGTGGCTTGAATGCCTGTAGACTAAGAAAGCAAGTTTCCAAGCAGAGGTTTTGTAAGAAATATTTTATCATAACTCATAAGCATCACTTACATGGAACAAAATCCATAAAATATTATAAGAATAATAGTGAAGATTGAATATACAGATCTGATTTTAAACAAAATTCAATCTTAAAATTCAATAAAATACTCTTCTATTGTTAGTGACTTTGTAGCTGTGATGACTTAAGATATGGTTTGGATAAGATATTTAAACAGAGAAGTACAAGTAGGTAAGTTCAAAAAAGGGAAGAGGAAAAGAACAAGGAAACAGAAGGGTTTTAAAGACATTAAAAGAGACGGAAATAGGACTAATTTTTAGAGTAAGCAAGCAAACAAGCAAACAAGCATCTATAACAAGCTGTTAAGCCCCTTTTCGTCAGACCGGAAATTGAAAAATTGAAAGTCAAAAAGAAGTGATGAACAATGGCTTCTAAATACAATCAGCTCAGCCACGAAGTTGTTCCAGTGCATATCAGTAACAGATCGCACGACTGTCTGAACGAATGAAAGGCAGCACGGGAGATATGGCTGAACAGAGGATGGACATGATGAGACCACGGAGTGCAGAAAGTTTGGTGTACAGTAGGGAGGGAATGCGTGAGAATTTATTAAGAGAGCAGAGGGCTTAAACTGATTTATGGTACATCAGCTAGTTTGGCCATGAAAAAATTATCGTCTGTGAATGCTTGTGAACTTATTTTCCTCCATCCACTGACTGGCATCTTCTCTACTTAGAGAAGCGAACACCCCTATGTGCTTTTGACTTTTTATTTGTTTAAGGAGTAGGGAAAAGGTATCAGTGAAATCTCCTGATGAACATCTCCTCCAACAGCATTCACACGTTGTGCCTTAGTAAGGTGCTCTCCAGAATATTTACTCACTGATTTACTCAACTTTGATTATCTTGAAATGTTTATTTCATAACTTACAGTTCTGAAATGATTTCCTAAGGATGTGCAGAATATCATTATCTGTGGTACGCATGCAATAATAAAATGCAGTCAACAAATTACAGTTCATCTACACCCATGCTCCACTGTATGCCACCTGTTCTGCTGTTCTGATAAAATCAGAACACGCAGGAGCTGAGAGAATGGATCACTCACTATGGTCAGGTTTGTTTCTGTTGGTAGAGCTTTTTGGGTTTCTTTTTGAAAGAAACATTTAAAATGCATTTAATTCATCAGCTAAAGCCACAAAGGTTCTGCCTGCACTAACATTGCTTTTGGCAGCTCCTCCAGAAGATACGAAATGACCCCCCTCACTTAACACATCTAACACCTCTGCAGCTTAAAACAAAACCTGATTTGTCTATTCATAGGGGGGAGAAGAGGACTACGTGCAAAATGGAAATGATACAGAAAGGTGTTTACCTTTGATTTCTTTCTATCTGTACCAGTATTACCCCTGGTAATTTAAACACAAATAAGAAATAATCTCAAGTGTAAATCAAGGTAATATAGAAAAGACTCATCGTGGTCACCAACTAGAATTTCTGACTCATTTCAGCAAGATTTTCCCTGGATCATCAAATTTGGATTCACCTCACTGTAAATTTATTAAATAGATTTATTTATTAAATAGATTTTTTTTTGTTTAATAAACAACTCAGTTCTGTTTTCAGTTATACCTAAGAAAAACCAGTAATTTCTTACCTGCAAGTTTAATTTCTCCAAATCCAGAAAATGCCAGTCCAGTTGGCAATTTGCCCTCCTACCAGCAGATGAAGACAGGAAATAAACGAAACAGACTAATTCCCTAAGAAAGGGAATTATATCAGATGAATGCTCCAGTTCAAGAACTACCTGAGTAGTGAAAAGTAAAAGTGAAAATAAAAGCTTAAAAAATAAAAGCATTTGAATAAGAAAGAACAAGCTTTAAAACTTCTATTTAGGACAGGAAACATGGAATGCAAACTCAAATTGATAGCATACATGAACATAACCAAAATCTGTAAGAGCAACTCTAAAATAAAAGGGAACTCTCAAACTGTCAGTACTGCAGCATGACAGCGAGATGTCTGGACTGGTATGTCGTTGGACTTTGAGAAATTAGATCAGCAGGTATGAAAATGAGTTACTTACCAGTGGATTTTGATGCTGCAAAATATCAACTCTCCTAGGTGTGTGCCCTGTGCACAGAACACAGTACTCCCCAAATCTGCCTCCAGAGCAGCTAGTTCC